GGGCATCATTGCAGAGAAAGGGTTAATTTATTTAACTCTCTTATAGGGGGTGCCCATTGGGGGATCGGGTCTGGTCAGGGCGGTTCGAGTTTGAGGGCGGAAAGCGGCTATCTTGGTATAAGCCGAACGCGCCCGACTAGTCGACTCAAAAACAAACGCGCTTGCGTTCAGGCGACGAGAGGGGCGATCGACCCCGACCCGACCTGACCTGACCCGATTCTATCCTCAACGGGCACCGGAAAGCTATTCCATCTTTGAGCGCAGTCAATTTTGTCATCAATTTTTCAACATCACAAAACTTACAACTTCCGTTCCCGTGGTAGATCTACATACATGCATGTGTTTGTCTAAAATGAACAGGGCCTATTAAACTGAGGTGCCTTGCCGACTGGCGAGGGCGATCATGGACCTCCACTTCATTCTGTCTTGCGTTGCAGCGATGGTGTCTCTCTTTCTTGCTGTTCCCAGCCGTGTTGTCAACTTGTCCAGTAACTTTTCCTTCGTCTGCCTCTGCCTCTGCCTCTTTTTTCATCAAACTTGCTACAAAATTCTCCAATGCTTCTTTCCGCATTGTGTACAATGAACTTTCCCTGTCGTCTGCAATTTGCTTCAACCAACACTTGTTCAGTGCGTTTTTCTAGCTGTCCATGGGATACGCAGCATGCGTCTTATGAACCACAACTATGTCGCCTCAATTGTTCTTTCCAGTTGTCTATTGATTGCCCATGCTTCGCACCCGTAAATAAATAATCCTTGCAAAAAATTCAGCTTTATTTCAGACAAGATGAATTTGCTGGGGGTTTTTTAGATTTGTGTAATGACTGTGAAGAACAGAGCAAGGTTGCACGCCGGCTAAACAGGCGGGTCGTCGTAGACAAAGAGTTAACAATGACAAGCTGCGATTTACCAAAACCATTTTCCGCTTTCTGTTTCACTTTCATCTTCCCCTTTCTTTGTTATCATTAATGTTTTAAGTATTTGTGTTTTTCTTTCATTCAACATCTTGGCTGTTCTTCAGCCGGGGCTTGAATCGATCGCCCTAACAATACTTGACACTATATTGGGAAAGGGGGGGGGGGGTGTCTGTGGTCGCTGTGTAATTGCCTATCCTCATCATCATCATCATCAAGTGCCAGATCTGTGACAGACATTGGCGATCATGATTCTCCATTCATTCTATTTCTTAGATGTTCTCAAAAAAGCTACAGCTAGTAGGCCTATCCAGATCTTTCCCCGTCACTCATTTGCTCAGTGTTCAGGCTTTCCAAGTAGGTTGCTTCTTTTGCCTTCAATTCTGCCAAGTTCAAGGCCTATGTTTATTCCAGAAACTGCACTTGTCTTATCCTGATTGTTTTCATCAGCGAGCAGCCCATGTAGGGCTTCTTAATAGGCATTAGCATATAATTATATTCATTTACCCCCCCCCCCCAAAAAAAAAAAAAAATTTAAAAAATTAAATAATAATAATAAAAAGGACAAAGTGAAGGGAAGGATCTGATCCGTGATCTGAAAAGATGATGACAAGACTACAGGGCTGCAAAGAAATATTTCAAGATAAACAGAAAAATGAAGCAAAAGAAAATAATATCGGGAAGAATAATGGATCGTGCTTTGGACAAGACAAGGACCTTCTCGAGACCACCAAGCATCAGCTGCTGCTTCACAACTCTCACTGCTCGCAGTCTAAGGGGCATAACCGCTTTAATAATGCAACCAAATTGAACCAGTTTTTTTTTATACCGACAAATCTTGATATATCGACCCGAATCAAACAAGAGAAATCGGCCATCGGAAGTACATCGCATGTACTGAACTCAGAAGTAAATAGTTGCGAGGGAACTTACTGGTACATTAAAAAGTATTATTTCCTTCTCTTTTCCTTTTTTATTTTCTGGTTAATTCATTATTTTCTATTTTTAAAAATGTTCCATAAATAAAGGACAATTGGTGATTACTATAACAAGCTCAGTTATTTCTAAAACTCTTACACTTGGAACTTACTGATATTTAAATAAAGAAAAGCATATTGATATGGTGAAGGTTATTTAGTGTATAGGGAAAAAGAGACAACATACACATCGGAACAGCAGAAGGGAAAAAAAAGAGTTTGGTTGACAAAGACTGTGGTTGTGTCACAGAGGTGGTTACTTCAATGAGGTCACACACACCCTAAAAACTATTCCTAGTTTCTAAAAAGCAATCGTTACTGTAGTTTTTACAGCATGTGTTGCATTCATCCCCCAACTGTGGTAGTTTTAACTCTTTGCCTGCAACTCTTCTGGGCCTACTAATATTGTCAATGTGCCAAGAGACCGCAACAGCTCTGAACCTAGTCTTCTGCTGTTTCTCTTGGGATCAAACAGTGATACGCTCGCATTGTTAAACAGAGTATTATTCTACAAATCAGAGAAGTTTCAAGGCTGCACTGCTGTAACAAAGCTATAGTGCGGTCAAAAATTCAAGGCGCAACTTCCTTTAATATCTCTTTAGCGGGTGAATCAATGTCATCCATACTTTGCACAGCAGTTTGTATCAATTTGTCTTACCTAAATCATATTTTTCCACAACAATTGGGGCTGGATTAAAAAACTTTACTTCATAAATTTATATAAAATACTTGAAATCTCTGTCACAGGTAAAATGGTTCACAACACTTCCCGCTTCTCACACACATTTTGATTACGCATATGACTTACGTCACAGCTCATCAATGACACTTTTTAGTGGCAAAATTTATTAGGCTACAAGAAATTATTGTTACAGTGAACACATTTTTTGCACTAACGGCTCTCAAAACATGTGTTCAATAAGCGTAATGTCCCGATTGGAAAAATAAGACAGACTTGCTATTAAAAGCAATATTGCCCCAGCTGTAAATATTTAAAGATCTGTGGAAACCAACCACTTTAATTTTTTATTAGTATCTATTAAGGAATTGTTAAAATACAACTTGCAGATGTTTACAAAAATGTTGATCTGTTAAGACAAATTGATACAAGACATTGTGCAAAAATTTGAGAACCTATGTTTGATAGTTGAGGTGATATTTGACAATAAGTCGCACCATGAATTTTTGACCTCACTATAGTTGTGATATCGAGTTTTAGTTAATTACATTTTATCAAGTTTTCTCATGTCTCTATCTTTGCTGAGCACATCAGGCTAAAACTTTGCAGCTCTGAGGGGGTTAAATATCTTGGACAGTAGACCACCTAAGATTTACATACCTCTTCAGGCTGGTTATTGAGGAGTCCCACAAGCAGGTCGATGGCCTTGAGTTCCTGGAAGCGCTGCACATTCTCAGGGCTGATGGAACATTTCCAGATGGCGCCGGTAGCAGCAGCAAGAAGCTGTTTGTCATCATTGTTGCTGCTTAGCAGGCCTACAAGAGGGTCAAGGCCACCATACTGCCGCACAAGGTCACGAGTCTCCTTTTCTTCTGCACACTGAATGAAAAAATAATCAAAACATTAACTTTTGATTCCTGATCGTTTTGAGGGTACAATTTTGTCAATCCCAAGATCTACACCTGGCCCTGTTCTATATTTACTATCTATCTTCACCCATTTTGTGATCCTTTGTCCAATTACAAATAGTTTAAGTGCTCATACAAATAAATCAATCAATATTTGACAGAATCATAGCTTTTTAAAAAGTAACACTCTTCGCTGCGGAGTAAAATTGTGGAATCTCTTGCGTACTGAAAGAGATAAAGTAGCCTACATCAGTGCTTTACTATGAAAAAAACAAAACCAAACGCAAGAGATGTAGATGTAAATTATCTCCACAAAAACAGAAAATTGTAGTTGTTGGAAATTCAATTTACAGATTTGGATTTACAGGTTCTGATGAACAGCTACCTCTGTAACTAAAGAATCAATTTAAAAGAGGCATAACAGAATATTCAACTTTGAATTAAGTAGATTTTAATGAGTGCACTTGAATGTTACTTAGCAACATGTATCAGGACCACATTTAGGAGGAACAAAAATTTCTTTAAAAACAACAACCCATAAGCTGTCTATGCAATGGCAAATAAAAGAAGCAAACCTTGAATATGGCTGAAGCACAGTGCATCTGTAATTCTGGATTGGAACTCTTCAGATTTTTCACCAAATCCTCAATCATTCCCTCTGTCCTGATGGCAAGACCATAGCTGGGCTGCAAAATATAAACAAAGCCATGTCTTCAAGAATAGAAACTTAAAGAACATCAACGATGATCAATTCTCCGCTATTTGCAGCGTGATGCCATTGAAGTCCTGTAAGCAGGGCAGATAGTTACAATATCATGACAAAGGGTGTTCTTGATTAACACGCCCCACTCAGATCCAGAACTATTACAGATCAACCGTCGGCGCCGTGGATGACACTGGAGATAAAGGCAGGCAAAACGGAGCGATGACAAACAGAGAGGAGATGGTGGGCACAAGGACTCACCGTGCACAGGGACATCTATAGACAACTCCACAGAAAAGTCAAAGAACTCATAATCGTAGCAAAACGTTCCTTTTACAACAACATGATATCAAAGTCAAAAACATCAAAAAGTCTCTTTCGCCAGGTCCATTCACTTTATGGAAAATCCAAATCTGCCCTTATTCCTTGTGCTTCTCCCACATGAGAGCTAGCAAATAACTTTGGAACATTCTTTGGGGAAAAAATTGCTACAATAAGAGACCCAATGGATAAACACGGTTCATCTGTACCCAGGGGCGAAGCGTCTATAATCAAATAATCACTGCTTCCCTTCCTAATTTTGAAACATTGTCGCTGTCAAATTCATCCTTAAACGCAAACCTCTTAAATTAAATGTAAAAAGACGTTCGTAATCAACAATGAACAGTATGTCTAACATTCAAAACGGTTTCACGGCCTCAGAAATAGCCTCCTCACCCCTCTCGGGCCACTCCATAAGCAGTTGCAAGCTTTGATTAAGTAAGCTTAAAGTGAGTCTGGAAGAGTCTACCAATAGATTTGAAGGGAACATGTAAATAGCAGTCCAAGCTGTTTCATTGCCACATATACCCTGTTCACCCCTTTGGGGCCACAGTTAAAATCAATCTCAAGCCCTGATTATGTATGCTAACTAACGCTGGTCGAGTCTACCTCACAAATGTGAGGGGAACTAACTCCTAATAATCTCTTGACTGCTGCGTGTGCTTGTTTTTTTTCCTCGACTTTTTACCGTCCTATAATCAGATCGTGACCTCGATTATGACACCAGCTCCTGGCCGCGAAAGGCTAACAAAAACAGCCAAATGTGAAATTTAAAAAATGATAATTGTCATGTTCTACCAAAGAGTTAGACTTACTGGTAGATCTATAACATATAGATATAGTACTGACATCTCTGTTTCTTTGCTTTGTGTTTATGTATTCACATCTAAAGTTAAATTTAATTTTAGTTGGAACTGATATTTAATAAGATACTTTCCCGATTATTTTGGCGGTTGAACATACAATATGAATTCCGGATTTGTTTTCATTCACAACTCAGAGTCGCCGCCTCGAGTAAGATTCTTGTGTGATATCTACAGGCCATATCTGATACCGTTTCACTTTAATTACCCTGTCAAACAAGTCAGCCTTCGCCCCTGTCTGTATCTGAATTTGAGGAGTTCCACGGGAACCTCCATGTAATTCTAAACCTGTCTCACAGGACTCAGTGAAAGAGATCATAATGTCATCACCAACGAAGTCCTGCTGCCTTGACCCTATCCCAACACCTTTATTAGTCAACCATCTTGACGTTATTGATGTTGTAACAGCTATTATTAATGATTCACTCCTTTCATGTTTTAAGCACGCAGTCGCAACACCTCTACTAAAGAAACAGTCGTTATCCCCGCATGAGTTTAAGAACTATAGGCCGATCTCTAACCTATCATTTTTGTCTAAAATCTTAGAAAAAGTTGTTTAATCTCAATTAAGAGCACATCTTGAAGAAAATAATCTGTTAGAATGTTATCAGTCTGCTAACAGAGCGTTTCACAACACAGAGACTGCACTTTTAAAAGTCCAGAATGACCTCCTTTGTGAAGCAGACGAAGGCAAAGTTTCTGTTTCTGCCTTACTCGATCTAAGTGCTGCATTTGATACCATCGATCATTCAGTTTTGATCAGGAGATTAGGCCATAGCTTTGGCCTATCTGGGACTGTTCTTGAATGGTTTGAGTCCTATTTGTTTAATCGTACACAGTCTGCACTTGTAAGTGGTGAAATGTCAACCATTTTTAGCCTGCAATTTGGCGTGCCCCAAGGGTCCGTGCTCCGACCACTTTTATACACATTTTAACACTATGCAAAAATACATGACAACATCTATGAAACCATATGTCTTTGAATTTATTGAAAATAGAAGGGAAAACTCATTTCCAATTTTGTTATTACATACTTTGAAGCCATAAATGTGTTTGAATGTGTTGAGAAAAAGAAGAAAACCTCATTTCTAGTTTAGTTCTCACATACTTTCGCTAGACAATTCAAGACAGCAAACCTGCATTTGTGTCGCTTATTGTTTTTGCCATAACCACCCCCCCCCCCCCCAAAAAAAAATCAGTTTTCCAGAGAGTGCACCACACTGATCACTCACCTCAGAGGCACACTCTTGCAGCGTGCCCACCACAGGTATCAGCATGTTCTCATGCTCTGACTTGAGCAGTTTGGCCAGCAGAGGGATGGCGCCGGCTTTGCGCATGGCCTCTTTGTTCTTTTTGCTCTTGGAGCAGCTCCACAGTGCAAGCGCACCGCAGCGCGCCACCTCCACACTCAGCTCCATCTCAGGGGTCATCGTCACATTGGTCAGCTTCACACAGTCAAGGAGGTTCACCTGACATAGAGAATAATCATCCCTTTTTAATGTAATTGTAATCTGTAAAGTTTTTCACTGCTCTCAACATAATTTAGATAATTTAAGAAAAAGACTCCTTCATCATCTAACATAGAAGCAGATCAAGCTAGTTTGAATTTGCCCTGATTACTGCAGAGTATTCAGCTGAGAAACAAAATATGTGTCACGACGTGGTGGAATCAGGCGCTTGTCAATTTTTGGTCATGCAGAATTATTGGTATCACCTAAAGGCTTATTCATTTCCCGCACTTCCACTAAAAGAAATACACATTTATCTAAAACAGAAGTCGAGATATTTGCAATTGAAGGAGAGGAGGTTCCCTGGTTTCAGTGTTAAAATTAGAAAGAGAGTGGCCACCAAAATTCGGTAACTTCAATAGCTTGAGAGTCCTTGAAATCTGAAAAAACTTCAATAGCTTGAGAGTCCTTGAAAACTGAAAAATTACATATTTTGTGCCTTTAATCAACGTTTTTCGGACAAATTCACAAGGATATGTCTTTTATATGGACATAAAGCAGTAGAGCCAAAAAACTGAAATTCAATAAAAATTGCCAAACTGGCTGCTAAATGCCTGTTTCTTTGATTTCATTATTTTGACGAGCGCCTGATTTCACCACCATGCCTCACATATTCTTGTATAACACTTTGGAGTCACACAGCCAGCAGTACAAAATACCCCATCTAGTCACCCAGCCAGGAGAGTGACTGCAACACACTTCTCCCGCCTGTCGCAAAGCTGCGTAGTAAAGGGACCGGATCGGAAAATTTTCAACATCGCATTAATGCGGCAAGTGACCACAGAGGGTTAAAAAAGGCTGAACTGAAATATAAAGCTCTATCTCTTACCTTTGTCCACGGCTCAAGAAACACCCTTTCAACTTCTTTCTATAATTTTGGGAATTTCTTATTTCTGTACGCTTTCCTCCTGTATTTGTTTATTTGTTTGTATCTGACTCATTTTATCAACAACACATTACTCTGATGATGATAAAAAGGCTGAATTCAAAAACTTATGAGAAGGAGTAGAATAGAAGGAGTAGAGAATGGATGGGCATTTTTTAACGTATTTAGATTTCCACTATTTTTTTCTGTTATAATGGATTAGTTGTGTGCTGATGAGTTAATAGCCCTAAAACAAGACCACATACTCATCCAAATTATGCCTCTTTTCCCGTGAAATTGAGAGAAAAAATATAACTTACCAAACGTTGAATACCTCCATGCTGTCTGACTGTGCGCCTGGCACGGCGGAATTTGGCGACATTAGCAATGGTTTCAGCTGCCAGGCACTTCAGATCCTTGTCTGCATCACGAAGGATCTTGACCATAGTCTGAAGGCCTCCAAGGTCGGCGATAGCACGACGGATTTGAGTGTTGCGAGAGATTTCTTTCAGAATTTTCAAAGCTCCAATCTGAGGAGAATTTATTTAAGTTTTTGTAACAAGAAATATGCAAAAGAAAAGTAAAATATCCTGTTCAAAGTCATTCTGTGTTTGTCTTTCACTAACTTTCTCTGTCTGTCTCCTCCCTCCCACCCTCTCTCTCTGTGACAATTTCATTTCTTTTATTAGATTTGGGAAAGAAACTGAGAATGCTTATTAAGTACTGTATAGTTCACAAAGTGAAGAGGTTTAAAACAAGATTTATCCCCAGAAAGATCTTTAAATTTCCAAGTCTCTTCCTTTCCTACTATGACTGCTTAAATTTTACAGCTTAAAATCACACACACAAAAAGTTTTTTTTTATAAGGAGAGAGTACCCAGCACAAACTTTCAGTTTAAAAATATTAACATATCTATCTGTTGACTTGCTTCCTAAAACTGTCTTTGAAGAAAACTTTCCTTTTCCTTTTTTTTGTTTGTTGAGACTATAGCCCACTCTTAAAACATTTCATTGCATTACAGTAAAAGAGATTGTGAGTAGAACAAGACAGTTTTCCAGAGGAGTTAACTCCTAAACTAACTAAAGTGCAAAAAGGTGAGCATCAAATCTTAGACGCAACCCCACTCAAACTTGGAACAGTTCATAATTTTGGAATTATTTTTTTAAAACCCAAAAATTTCCAGGCAAGTGGCACCTTTGACAAAGGCACATCTTGCACTGACTGACCTTGCATTTGACCTCCTCAGTGTCCAGAAGGTTGATCAGCACCTCCAGTCCACCGACATCACGGATTGCCAGTTGGCACGTCTCTTGTGCCAGGTTGAAATCTCGCAAGGAGCACAATGCAATGATGGTCGCTGTTTGGTTACCTCCCTGGGAAAGACGACAATTATTTCCATTCATTTTACTGTTAGATTATTTTGTGGATCAGCTTTGGGGTTAGGGAGGGGGGACCAGTACCTCAACAGATAGGGTGTTCACTTGTCAACCAGGAGGTCCGGAGTTTGATCCCTGCCAGCTTCGGGGTTTTTCTTTTTCTGTTTTCTTCATTCCCTGATCTTAAAGTAAGTAGGAACGAGCATCTATTCTCCTCAGAGGAGTAAAAAAAAATTTGGAAGGTCCCATGTGAGAATTTTGCATATTAAAAAACCCCTTGGCGGTTCTAAAATCTTGAAAAAGCAGGCCCTCAGGGCTACTGCGTGGGAAAAATTCAAAATTAATTCCTACTCAAAATTAAAGTCACTCTAGTCATTATAAACATCAAGAGTACGTTCGAAAACAGCATGTGGCTACCTGTCAAGTAGGAATGATTCTGTCCTACGTTTTTTTGTCGATAGAATTGTCATGAGCATAAATATCAACTGCACTAAGAGGAAAAGATCTCACAATCAGTTACTCCCTGAGCTCTGAGAAAAAGAAGCTCAAAGAGTTAACAATTTCCCAATATTCTACGTCAAAAACAAGGAGAGGTTGAAACTCTGCCCTTCTGCCCTGTAACCATCGAGCACTCTAACCTTGAGGTATTTCACAAGTTTCTGGATCTGCCAGTACTCCGACGGCAGGTCCGCATTTGCCTCCGCTCTTCTTTCAATTGCCTCTTCTTCCTCTTCACTCTCTGTAGAGCTCTCGCTGAAATGATCCTCCTGCTCTCCCACTGGTGTTTTACTGCTTGTTTTTTTCCTTCTGTATAGAAAAAGAAGCAGAGAATGTAAAAGGGAACATAAAGTATTTTGTTCCCATAACCCTGCAGAGAAAGATTTTGAAAGACATATTTTTTTTAATATCAAGGTATGATCAAGTCTGTTATTTAGTGCCTTGATTTAGAATATAACTAACGCTTAACTGTGTGTTTTTCAACATTTCAGCTAATCTGCCAAAGAGACTACTGCTAAGTCATATCTCCAAGAAAGTGAGTCAAGTATTCAGTCGAAAGAGACAGCTACAAAGGCTATAATTCAGTCTACAATTTTTGTGTGTCAATCGATTTAAAATTGTCATTGCTGGTATAAAACTTATTTAGTAAATGAAACTCTTTGCAAGTGATAGCTTTTATTTGTCAATCAGTTAATTAGACCATCTCTACACAGTCTCTGTGAGGCACAAAGTCATTCCATACATAAAAGGGACTGTTGGGTTTTTTTTCAAATTAATCAATGACATATTCTTTTCCAAATAAATCACTGATAGTAAATACCTTAGCTCATAACCCTCACCGCTGCCATCCATCCCAAAGAAAAAAAAATGTTAATGCAAATGGTGAGACTAAATGTAGTACAGTCAGGAACATAACCTATAATTTTCTTCATATTTTCTGCAAATCTTAGGATGTGCTCTCTTTCTATGCGATGTCATTGTGATCAAAACAATTAAAAGCAAAATAAAGATGGTCTTACTGATCAACTAGGACAGAACTCTTCCGTTTCTTCTTAATTTGTTGTGAATGTTTCCTGGGGGAAAGAGCAAAATGCAACCATTCAGTCAATATCTGAACATAAATAGGGTGTAAAGAGTAGTTCAAAAGTCAATATTTCTTACTATAGTAGTACCTCATTGAAAGCCACAACAATATTAGACTTTGTGAAAAATACCAAGAAATTCTTTAATCAATACTGTATGTTGTCAGTAATTTAATTGAGCTTCTAAGGATAACAAAGCTAAAGTAATAATATGCAATTTCTCTTTATCTTTTTCCCTCAAGGGCAAACCACAAAAAAATCACAAACACTGTGGTTAAGGTTGGTTGATAAGCTCAAGCAAATCTCAACTTCATCACAATAATAGATATAAATTTATTCCCCTTCATGCGTTAACACTATGCCTCCTCGGGATGCCGATCGGCGACGGTAAGAAGCCGTCCTTTTTCCCCACGGGACGCCTATTGGCTACGGTGTGATATAGCGTGCAACGCACCTGTAACCTGGTCCGTGGGGTTAAGTGTTCGGCGCTCTGCGCGCTGCATGGGTGCAAAGTGTTAAGGCATTGAAAATGTATTATCAACAGAAATGTTTAGCAATCATAAGAAGTGTTTACACAGTCAGATCAGTTTTACTTTCAATGATATTTGAAGCTTTTCTACAAAGCATACTTGAGACAAGATGCAATACATTTCTCAGGAAGAGACCACATTACTAAAAAAAAAGGGGAAAGGGTAGGGGGTGTCAAATTGTTGAAAAAGATAACTAAAGAAACAAGAACAAATTTGAAAGTTAAAGTAAAACATTCCTTTCATTAGTAAAAAGTCTTAAATGCTGTTTGAACTCATAATAAAAGACACGTAACTAATAAATGATTTAAATGAAATATGCCAACCATCAGACTTCAAGACATTCAATATCATTTTTATTCTACAGTATTGTGATCCTGAATTTAGATTTCTCATTTTGCTCCACAGGTTGTAACCAAAAGTGTGAAATGCTTCTATTACCTTGGCGCAAGATCAATATTTGTTACATTATAAAAGTGGGGAATTCATAAAATAGTAAATAAACATTTGATATTGAGAATGAAATTCTTTCTTAACGTTTTCGATTGGGTTGCTCCGAAAGAACGTGCCATATCATAATGCCACTTAATTTCTTAGTAAACACTGAGCTCCACATAAATTTAATTTAAACAGTTCGAATATATGTCTTTTCAAGTTTTGCAGACTGTTGGCTCTCCTGTCGGTCTCTGTCCAACTTTCTTCCTCCTTTACAGATGACTAGGAAAATCCTCCTTAAGTGACCACACTACTGAAACAGTTGAACCAAACCATCAAAACAACAATACTTTAAATACGAAGGTACTTTTTTAGAACATTCTCTGCGGGGCCAAGGGTCCATTGGTGTCTGTGCCGATGAGGTAGGTAATATAAGTCCTCTTCGTTATCTTGAAAAGACATGGCTGTTGAGCCTGATTCATTTTCGGTCCCTTCATTCAAAAAGGCATTGGTAATGGTTTCTATGGAGGGCAGTCCCTGTCAGGAGAAGAGAGCTTGTGATGACAGGCAAAGTCAAGGACAGTAACGGAAGCGATTGAAAGGATAAGGCTTCTGGAAATAATGTATGTGACCTATATTTATGAAAAAACAAGCAAAAATTTCAACAATGTTGCCATGGCAAACACCCATCTTTCGAAATGAGTGTCAAAACAATTTTTTTAAAATTGAGTGAATTTCGGTTTAACTTTTTCCTTTTTAAGGGTCAAAAATGGCCTTGGGAGCTATTTCCAGTCAAAGCTGTTTGAGCTCAAGATGAACCAGTCATCTGTTCTGGTCTCAAGAACCAAAAGAGATCTATGACATATTATTAAACTTTTGATAAATATAGGTCATAATTATATATATATCTAGGGAATATACTTTTTTTTTAGGCAGTGGATCTAAAGGTCATCGAGACAAATGAAAAGAATCAATCACTGATACAATGAGCAAAACATTTATAATGCCATCTCACAAGTGTTAGTATAGAAATACACACATGAGTGAAATAAAACAAAGAGGAAAACTGCCTACGACATCTGATCCTCTTCCAGGCCAAGGGCCTTCCACTTGAGTGAGGGTTCCAGTCTCGCCTTGGTCTGTGTCTTCTGTTTACGCTCTTTATCCTGCTGCTGATCTTTCTGCTGCCAGGTTGCTTGGTGCTCAGAGCGGAACGTCTGATCTCCGTCCACTTCATCATCTTTGCTGTAGGCTCCATGATGGTCTAGGCTTGTCTCTTTCTGCTTCACTGTGAACTCCTACAGGGAGTGGAGAACACAATCCACAACATGACAGACCTTGTGATACGTGGCAAAAGTAACCGGCAAGAAGGATGTTCACTCCATTTTCATTTATTCAGGGAAGTTTCAGCACTTTCTTTTTCTTTGGTATGATTCGTTCATCAATTAAATTTGAAACCTCAATTTTGGAACATGAAAAAGTGAACTATTAACTTAAAGAATCAATGAACCAACAAAAAACATTCAAACAAGTGGCCTACTCCTTTATAAAAGTACAAATTCACACATTTGGCTTGAGAACAAGCATGGCATGAGCGATGAGCACTTTTATTTTTTAATATTCCATTTTCCATTATTTCCGTATTTCCCCCACTACTATGTCAGTTGAGGTTAAGTCTTTTCGCCAACATCACTTATTATGACAAGAAGGACCAAGATGTTCATCTTCTCTATTAAAAAAGAGGAAAAAAAGAGGAAAATTAACATTAATATATCTTTTCTAAAAAAAAACAACCGCACAAAAATAATGGAAACAGCTTTGCAATTTTAGTAAAGATCTCCACCAGCAGAATTTCTAGACAACAAATTATGCACACCTGTTTCTCAATCATTTCAGCAAACTTTGGAGATTTGGCTTTGATGAGTGTGACAAGGTCTTTGTAAGTGTCTGCATCAGGCTTTTCATAGTCCAGCTGACCACTCTTGTCATCAGATGGGCCCTGCAGGAGAAAAAAATATCAAATTGAGATTATAACAGCATAGAAAAGTTTGATCATACTTGATTATCGGTACAATAGAAAAAAACATGCATGAAAACAGGGTGGAAGTACTAGTTTTTCCTTGTTTACGTACAACAGTCACACACTGAAATAAAGACTGAATCTACATACAGTGCTTGTCAAATTTGGTATGGACAAGTCTTTTAACTGAAACAGACTTGTACCTTGTTTAGATAGTATCCACTCGTGTTGGCAGTGACATAGATAGGGTTTTCCATGTCAAAACACTTGATCACCAGGTAGCAAATATCTCCATTTAGCTGCCTCCAAGGTTGAGCTCTGCAGCCATTCTGATACACATATGTTTCACCTGAAGAATAAGTACATTGTATGACTGAAACATACACAAAAATTGATAACGTAATAATAATAATAATAGATAGCATTTTTATAGCGCATATCCCCGTTCAACAGCAGGCTCTATGCGCTTTACACTATATTATTACCCCAGCAGACCATAGAACACTCCGAAACATTCTCAGCTTCCCGGGAAGCATACAGTGCAAGCAGCCGATTAAGCGCTCAAACACTAACAAACTGACAAGATCTTTCGCTGTCTATAGCCGGGTACCCATTCCCACCTGGGTGAAGTGAGGAAAATTCGTGTAAAGTGCCTTTCCCAAGGACACAACTGTACTTAGCACTTACTATCTCTTAGTCTTTCCACACTATTGAACCACTCTTCCTGTGCCAACATTTCATTGAGCAAAAAAAAAAATTCAGTTTCAAAAGAAAAAACCTCAAACATGTTTTCTAAATTTTGGTATTTTTTTCACTATGTTCTAGAGTATATGTACCTTGAAACATTATTGTATATCAAGCGAAAATAAGAGTAAGATTGACAAAACGTAGGGGAAAAAAGAATGAAAGCAAGGACAATATTCAAGTGGGCGTGTAGACATATTGCAATCAAGCAGTCTTTTTGTCAAACAAAACTCCCTAGGAATGTACCAAAGAATATTCGTAGAAACGAAAGATATCGGAGCATCTGAATCTGGAAAGAAATTATTAGATACATCCCTTTATCTGAAATATGAGTGACATCAAAGCCAAAATTAAATGACAAAAAAAAAATTCTTGACATCTGATTTCTGATCCCTCATTTGGATGTAACCTAACATATTTTGCAAGTTAAGTCGGCAAAGCCGACCACAATAGAAATGATTAGCAGGAAGACCACATTTCTTACCATAATAATTGATAAACTCCAGTGCATGTTTGTTTGAGTCATCACCAGAAACCTGTTTCAGCACAGACACTTCCCCGTCCACAATTTTAGGATTCAATCTCAAATCACTGCAACAGAAAATAGAAATATTTAAAGAATGCTTTTCAATTTACAAAAGTGTTTGTCTCTTTGAATTGTGTAAGGGCACTACACATTTGTTAATCATCGACACGATCAATTGATTTGATTTATATTATGGCATACAAAGAAGGAGATTACCCTTTTAATCACTTCTCTAATATGCGAAAACAGAAGCTCCTAAATGTCATTTACAATCATTCCAAAAGCAAACTGATAAAATATGATTGCATTACCCAAAAAAAATTTTTTTTATTGCGAGAGCCTATCATGTAACACCTAAGAATAACTGGTTTCTACTTATGCTGCCCGGAGTCAAATGGCAGTTTTTGGTGTAAAGCTTTTGAACAGAAATATCTTTTATTTGCAAACCATTTTTATACATCTTCTGGAGTGCGAAATATAATTTTATAGATGATTATCAAAATTCTCTATATGAGAACTTTTTAAAAAACTAAAACCAACCCAAAAAAACTATTCTCTGATAAAAAAAAATTCCAACATATAAAGTAATCTATAGGAAAAGAAGGAGCTCATTCGAAGGAATACATCAAATAAGTGAAATAATCAAAGTCCTTTGTGCTCTTACTTTGAGATCTTGATAATGCTGGCATTCAGCATCTGCTCATCAAGACGAAGCAACTTCAGCCTAAGACTGATCACCACTTTTTTCTCTTCAAGCTCTTTACTTTTCTCTTCATTTCCTTCAGATGTTTTGGCAAGCTGTTCGATTTCTTTGTTTATCTCCTCAATGTAGCGATAGATAGAGTTGTCAGCCCCATCAACAGTGGCAAAGCGATCTCCCAACATATTTGCCACTGGATCTTTGTTCTCTGTAAAAAAAAAAGTAAAAACATACAGTATTTACTACAATGCACACGAAACGATGAAGAAAACCTCAATAAATCAGAAATGTTATGTATGTGTTGTAAAGTTCACATGCAAAATGTCGCTAAAAATATTTTTCTGTGACAAAGATATTGCAATTACTTACATTGTGGCTTTGTGCTTCCATATATAAACATTGAAATTTAATGTTAACATTTTTTACTGATTGGATGGCACAGACAACATTTTCAAAACAATTTTGTAGTAAAAGGGAACATGTTCTGAGAGGAAGAGTGTGACAGATTCTTACATTCCCCCCTCACAAAATACTTTTTTTTACTTGATGTGACTTTCAGAGTTTGTACACTGGTCAGAAAATACAATATGCACCTAGATATGCTTTTGCCAAACAAAATTTTCCTAACTGTTTCCAGAATGTCTTGTCTACAGGAAATATCAAAATGTTTCATTGGTACAAATTTTATAGATTTTTGAACATCTTTGTATAAGGCAAACGGTATTCTGTACATTTATTATTTTGATGAAAAGTTTTGAATGTCAGTAAAATGACACATGTGAGGCATTGTTGTGAAATCAGGCACTCGTCAAAATAATGAAATCGAAGATACTGACTTTTTTCTGCCAGTTTGACAGTTTTTATGGATCTTTTTTTTTTTGGCTCAGCACATTTTATGTCCATTTAATAAAACATTTCTGTGTGGATTTTACTGGGAAATGTTGATTAAAGGCACTGAAAATGTAAATTTTCAGTTTCCAAGGACTCTCAAGCTATGGAACTCACTAAACTTTGGCGGCCATTTTCTAGCTAATTTTACCTCTGTTAAACTGGGCGACCCCCACCTCTTTCAATTGCAATTATCTCGACTTCTATTCAAGATAGAAGGGTGTTTAAAAAAATCAAAAGCAAGGAAAAAGAACATTTAAGCTTTAAGATGATATCAATAACTTCACATGCCCAAAAACTAACGAGCTCCTGACTCCAACGTGTCATGACACACATATATGTAAATACAGTACCTTCTAAGCAAGCCCTGAGTTCCACCATTTTCTTGTCTCCAGCAATTTGCAGAACACGCTCTCCTTGCTCCAATGTGAGAATGCTAAGCTTGTTGCCATTAAGTTCCAACAATGGTGACCCATCTTTGGCTGAGGTTGCCTCTGAAACAACTGATGTGCCTCTGAGGAAGATACAGATTAGTATGTTATGCAGTCCCTCTGAACTGAAAGTTGTGTTCCTTGTTCATACTTTATTATGGAACTCTTCAACTGCCAAGAAATACAAACAAGTGATTACCGTTGACTGACAGTTGAAATAACATTGATCACAAACATAAATCACATCTACTTCAGAAATACAACAAATCTGTTGAGTAAGCAATAATGTCTCAAAGTAACAGATTGAGGCTTCACATTGTTCCAGTCCACCTCCCCATACATAGTTTGAACACAATCAAAGCAATGACATAAAATCAATTTGCTTACTTTTCCACATAGCCAGATCCTGAAAATGCAGAGGGTTTTAATGAAGTGGTCCATACTAATGGCTTTTTGAAGACCAGTGAATTTTCTTCTGCTGTTTTGCCACCACTGCCCTCAGCAAAATTGAGAATATGATTGAGAATATCCTCGTTCAGGGTGGAGAACTCAAGTTTTCCTCTTGCTCCATCTTTTGCAGATGTCCACTGCGCAGCACGTTGTAATGTCTGACCCATCCTGAGTCACTTTTTTTCATGAAACAACTTGAGAACACCTGTTGAAGATAAACACATTCAACCCTCAAAAACAACCCAAGTACTTCATTGGATGAATACATCAAAACATTTAAACAATGTATTAAACAATGAAAAACAAAGTATGGTTCCAAAACATGTACAGCCTATATTCATGTTTTGAAAATTCTTTGTTTCATTTCTCATGAAGTTCCCATCTTGCCTTAGAATAAATAAATATGGTCCATGTATTCACCTCAAAATGTCCAAATATCAGATTATATACCATTTTCTACATTGCTACATGGTAATGGGAAATGTATCAGGTCTAGAAAGGCCAGTGCTTTGGTTTGTGGACAAATGAAAAATGTAAAGATGAGCAATGAGCATGAGACAAATATGCCAAAATAGAGTGTACTGGTATTAAAGGTCTCAAACCATGCTAAAATTTTATATCAAGATGACAGGTTTATTGAGCATTGAAAATGGCCTAGGCAAGACTTTTGCTTGATTCAAACTGATCCACCATGGCATTCCTTTTTTTATGGCCTACCACAATGTCAGAAAAGATGTTCTCAAAAACAAACTATTATGATGAGATCAGCTGAAGATCCAACGGTTTTGAAGGCGGTACAAGCAAGTGCTGTGGAACGTATGAGGGCATGGACAAGGCACCAAAGAAGGTCTGGCTATCCACTGCAGCCTGACAGTCTCCAGACGTAACGGTCTCCGTGCCACTGGGTAAAGGCTTCCTAGGCCGAGAGAGTGGGACTGCCACTGTGCAACGACAGCTCCATTTTAAACAAAGTCACACACAGGTTAATTTTACAGCTCATCACCATCTTCATCATCCACACTATCACTCCAAAGCCCTGCAGCGACAGGCAAGTGGCGAAAATAACAGGGGCAGGTGAGCCCTGGTAGTTATAGTCACAAACCTGCACGCAGACAGTCATTGGGCAAGTGGCCGTCTGACTCCTGACCGTGGCACCAGGATCTCTCGGCAGCACTCAGTGGCGACTGGGAAGCCTCTCAAAGATTGCACTACCCACCCTCAACAAGGGAAGGGTCTAGAAAAAGTGACCAAAGAAAATGCCTGCCATTCAAAGTCTGGTCAGTTTATCGTGGCTGACAAACTCACCCATTTTGCGGTCAAAAACAACGAAAAAGAAAAAGAAAGATAATCCTTGGATCCTGGAATATCAGAACTCTCTTCGATAGAGCAAAAACCAAAAGAACTGAACGAAGAACCGCCCTTGCGACGAGAGAACTTCAACGCTACAACATTGACATCGCTGCACTTAGTGATCAGCGTCTTCCAGATGAGGGCTCACTAAAGGAAGAAAGAGGAGGCTACACCTATTTTTGGAAAGGAAAACCACAGACCTGACTGTTCCAACAGCAATCCCTATCTATGAGTGTGTGTATGTGTGTGTGTGTGTGTGTATGTGTGGGTGTCAGAGGGAGGGGGAGGAGAGAGATTAGATAGATGGATAGATAGATAGATCGATAGAGAGACAGAGAGAGAGAGAGGAGGGGGGGGAAGTGAGAGATCATAGAGAGAGAGAGAGAGAGAGAGAGAGAGAGAGAGAGAGAGAGATTTTGTGTGTGTATGAGAGTGTGATTGTGAATGTCTGTGTGATTGTGAATGTTTTGTGTTCGTGTGTGTGTGTGTACATGTGTGTGTGTGTGTTTGTGTGAGTGTGCGTGTGTGTGTGTGTGTATACACGTCATGTGAGTGTGTATACACACGTGTGTGAGTGTGTACATGTATGTATGTATCGGGGAGGCTGGGGGGTGGAGGGGGGGAGAAGGAGAGAGATAGATAGATAGATAGATAGATAGATAGATAGATAAATAGATAGATAGACAGATAGATAAATATATATATATATATATATATATATATATATATATATATATATATATATATATAGAGAGAGAGAGAGAGAGAGAGAGAGAGAGAGAGAGAGAGATCAAGAGATTTTGTGCGTGTATAAGAGGGTGATTGAGAATGTGTGTGTGTGTGTGTGTGTATACATGAGTGTGTGTGTGTGTGTGTGTAAGTGTCAATGTTAGTCTGTGGTGTGCGTTCGTGCATGTGTGTGTGTATGTGTGTGTGCGCAAGTATGTGTGTGTGTGTGTGTTTGTGTGTATGTGTGTGCTTGTGTGACTGATCTTGAGCTCTACATTACTGTCATTTAAAAAATGAGTACTTAACAATTGTGTAAGGCAAGTCATAGATGTGCTACTTACTAAAAATAGGGAGAAAATCAAAAACATTTGGATACAGATTTAGACATAAAGGAATCAGCTTCCAACCCCCCCCCCCAAGCGGCTAAACGAAGAATGACGCACCTGCCTGATTGGCTGCTAATTTTAGTAATGTGATGTCATCAAATTGATGTCATCACATATTCTGGGGTACCCACAGACTATTTTTAGAAGGCCGTGGAGACAAAGATTCTCTACTACGATCTTTGGTGGAGATACCGCATGGAACAACATGTTGGGTCAGTGGCTGGACGTATTATCTGTATCGATGAGTTTCACATGTTTAATTTCACACTAGTGGCTAACTGCAGCCCATCATTCATCATCCATGCTCTGACTGGTTACAAGGTTTCTAGTAGATCTATGTTAATAACATTTCGGAATTCCGGTACTTGGACATGATGGAAGATCGCTAAGATTGTTGATGCTCAGTCGAACAGGAAGAAAGCTAACGCTTGAAATTTAAACACGGTAAACCCAAAGACAATAAAGAGCGTGAAAATTGCCCTAAGGACGCCGGAAGATTACCTCCCCCCCAAAAAAACAATGCGCAGAAGAGATTATAAGCAGCAGCATCATCATGGAAAAACATCGCACCAAATCTTCGTGCCATCAAAGATCATGTAGTAGAGAATCTTTGGTGCCATGCGGTTGGGTGTACAGGGGTATTCCGGTCTGATGTCACACAAGGTGGCCGTCTTACCTAAAAAATAGTTTGCATCATTCTACTTTCTACGTTAAGTGTCATAGATGTGCTATATATACTTAATTAAAATATGGAGAATATTAAAAACATTTGGATACAGAGTCAGACATAAAGGAATCAGATCCTACCACCCCCCCCCAGGCAGCTAAACGTAGAACGACGCACCTGCCTGATTGGCTGCTAAATTTAGTAATGTGATGTCATCAAATTGATGTCATCACTTATCCTGGGGTACCCACAGACTATTTTTAGAAGGCCGAGGAGACAAAGATTCTCTACTACGATCTTTGGTGGAGATACTGCATGGAACAACATGTTGGGTCAGTGGCTGGACGTATTATCCGTATCGACGTGTTTCACACATTTAAATTTCACACTAGTGGCTAACTGCAGCCCGTCATTCATCATCCATGCTCTGACTGGTTACAAGGTTTCCAGTAAATCTATATTAATAACATTTCGGAATTCCGGTACTTGGACATGATGGAAGATCACTTAGTTGATGCTCGGAACAGGAAGAAAGCTAACGCTTGAAAATGAAACATGGTAAACGCAAAGAGCGCGAAAATTACCCTAACTAAAGACGCCAGAAGACTACCCCCTCCCCGATAAACAATGCGCTGAAGATCATCGTTGAAAAACATTGCACCAAAGCGTCGTGCCATCAAAGATCATGTAGTAAAGAATCTTTGGTACCATGCGGTTGGGCATACAGGGGTGTCCCGGACTGATGTCACACAAGACGGCTGTTTTACCTAGAAAATAGTTTGCATCATTCTACTTTCTGTTAAGTGTCCCTCCCCCTTTCGACACACACATACACAAGCATGCACACGCCTACCTGTCAGTTAGTTGGACACTGATTTCACAAAATAAATATTAAGAATAAAACAAAGCAAAACAAACAACAATTGCGTAGGACTAGGATCTAGTCTAGCTTCGCAAGGGATTTTTGTGTTTGAATTGCTCAGGCGCAACGCCAACAATAACGCCGCTAAAAAGAAAGCATCTAGAATCTAGATTCTAGAGAACTTAAATGTTAAATCCGTGACCATACTCCGAAAAAAATCTGTTAGATCCCTGATTTAGATATCTTGATAGCAACAGCACATTATGATTATGTATACAAACCAGTGAGATGATTGTTATTTTGTTCAGTCAGCCTCTTGAATTAGAGGTACAGAGCTTTTCATGTGAATGCTTCTGTGGCAACAGTTGCCAATATGCGTTTGCCCATGCGCAATATGACCGGACGTAAAAGGAATTTCATTCTAATTTGTTCAAATACCAGTAAAAGAGTATAAACATGTTTTTCGTGACAGCAACCAATATTCAAATCTTTTGAAAATAATTTTGTAACATTTACCTAATACATATCTAATAATATATTACATGGAATTTGTCAAAATGGCAAAAATTAAAATCTACACATTCTCGTATCGTAAAATACATAATGTGTTATAAGAGGAAAACCGTTTAGGATACATATTATTTTTATATCTGTGCTGCTATATCTCACTCTTCAAACATTAACTATTTGTTTTTTCCTTATTTTTAAAACGTTTTAAAGCAGAATTATTAAAATTTTGAGTGAGAGCAGTTCTTAAATTCAATATATAATTATGGTATATGTCGACAATTAGCACAAATAAGAAGAAACTTCTTCATTTTTACTCACCTTTTAGTAAAGAGTCTACTTAGTCAGGGGAAACAACTCTAATTCATATTAGTTTGTTTGCTGTTGGAGACGGACCGAAGAAATCCGAAAATTTAATCTTTCTGAAGTTGAAGATTTGCTGTAATAATGCGTCTGTTTTTCTCTTTGTTTCCTCTTTTATTTTTGGAGTGACGAGTCTTAGGCTGAAGAGACTGAAAGTAACCGTACTTCTAGACAGAGTCAAAGTGTTAGGCTACATATCGTTGCCGTCGTGCACAAACCCACGAAGAAGGCTCGAAGGCTCGAAGTCGAAGGCCACCGACAATATTTTACAGAAAAGCAAAAAACGGGTTATTTCCTTTATTACTTAGAATCTAATATTTTTGTAGACTTTTCAAATTTTTCGTATAAAATATGGGTTTACACCTTCTCGCATGTTGTTTGAAGTGGTAAATTGAATCATTGCTAAGAAAAAGGACTTAGAAGTTTCTGCTCGAGTTTATTGTCGTGGAAAGACCCTATTTAAAAGCGCCAAATGTGTCACATACGAGGCCTGTGCACGACGGATCTGAACCGGCTGTCGTCAGCTGATGTTGCTTTGGTGGTTTTGTTCTTAAGTGAATCATTGATGACGGCTTGTGTGGGTGTGTGTATTATGATTATGATGATGTGTGTGTGTTGTGCGTGTTTATTTTTCGCTTTCTCTCTCGATCTCTGTCTATTTCTCGAACACACACACATTCCTTTCCTCTCTGTCTCTGTTTTTTTTAAATTCAGAAACTCTCTCTCTCTCTCTCTCACTGTTTCTCACCCTCTCTCTCTCTCTCTCTCTCTC